GGAAGTGAGCAAATATAAGCGCAGAAAATTTGCAAAGTGAGATTACAGGGCAATTTTGTATTTGAACTATTTGACAGTAGAATTAAGTACTGTTTTAGACTCTTAAAATTTCAACTGTTAACTTGAGAAATGAACCTAATTTAATTAAGTTCCTTTACCTATATACGTTTTTGCAATTCTTCAGCAAATTTGGTTCCTGTCCTCTAAGCTAACAACAATGGTGTCTATTTAACATATTTTATTTACTAATTAAAATGCCATTAGCCATAATTGAAATTTCCAGTTGTCTGGCAAATGCACTGAACAACATTGCAATTACATGCTAAGATAAATGGTACCTGCATAGGAAAATCTATTTTAGGTTTTTATAGCTAGGCTGCAATTTCTGATGGCGATCTATGGTCTGAACATAAACTCTAATATTATGTCAATCTGACTCTAGTAGATCGAACTTTGATTTTTTAAAAAATAATAATTTTCACTGAAAATATTTTTATCGGAGCTGCAGTGCTTTGAAATTTCTCCTTCAGAATATTGGCCTATCCTTGAAAGTTTGGGTATTAGGGTGAATAATTGACCTGTGCCTGTCATTGTGTAGAACAGTAAATTTGTGCTGTTTGTTGGATAACTTTAGTATTGTGTACAGCCATATGGATCATTGACTGCATGTATCAGCAGGTGACCTAATATCAGGCATGGTTCATGTTACTGAACCTGTGCCATGATACTTTGACGAATGGTTAAACATGTGAGACAGCAAGCATTAAGGTTTTCAATCACTGCATTGGAAGTCTTGATAGCAGAGATGGAAAGGAGGAAAAGTGTTTTGTATCCACAGAGAGAAGGAGGCCCTTCAAACAGATACTCAAAGGGATGAAACAAGACAGACCACCCAACATCAGCCAAGACACTAGAACTGACAAATGGCAAACTCAGTCCTGTCAATCCTACAAAGTCTTCCTTGTCAAAATCTGAAGGCTAGTGCCAAAATTGGGAGAGCTGTTTCCTTGACTAATCAAGCTACTGCCTGATTCCCTGGAGCAAGAAGACTCCCTAGGCCTTGCAGTGAGAAACTGTCTGAAAAGCTCAACACAACTGGGACTTAGCCAAAAAAAAGATTTAGCCCAAAAGCAACTCACACCAGGTTTCAACAGTAATAGAAAAATAACTCTGTTTATTGTAACACACATATCTTTAATGTGAGCAGTGAAAAACAGGGATTTCTAACCTACTGCCATGCAACTTAAATGACAGCCTTTAAAAACCCCCAAACACACAAACACTCCGTCATTATTAAGATAGACAAAGGCCAGATGGTTTGACACAGATACTATAGCTGAAAAATGATATAGTTAGTATAAACAAAATTCCAAAGATCCTAAATCCCTGATTTCAAGTGTTGATTGTAATGCATTACACAGTCTTTTGTGATTTTTTTAGTACTGATGACCTGCGTAGGGTAATGGTCATTCTTTCAATCAGTAGTTTCCAATATTTCCAGTATCAAGGCACACTTCAATGAGATAAATAATTCCATAGCTCACCCAATTTTTTTCAGCTGCATTGATTGCTTATAATCAATTTAAGAGGCATTTGGACAAACATATGAATGGGCAAGGAATAAAGGGATAGGGACCATGTGCAGGCAGATGGAATTAGTTTAGAATGGCATCATGGTCAGCCCAGACATGATGGGTCAAAGGGCCTGTTCAATATTACTAGCATTTACTGTGGTTATGGTCTTACTAGAGAGGATTGCAATATAGTGCATATAACAAGCTAAAGAAAGATCAAAAATATTAATGTTTCAAATGTCTTCAACTGTGAGCACACATACATTTTCAAAATCTGCTCAGTTCAACTGATATCCCACCTACAATCTGTTTATATGCAGGCATGATTAAGGTTTCAGCAATGATATGCTCAGCCACCTGCTAACTAGCCTCTTGAGCTTTTTCCAATACCTGCACACACTCCACGGACGTTGGGTCTGCTTGATGTTTTGTTCTGTCAATCTCTTAAAGGTACTGAATGTGTCTGTTCATAACAGATGGATGTTTCATCTGTAAATGGCATTTTACTTGGTAACATCACAGTGTTTGTTGGCTTCTCTCTGCAGATGAGACATTCGGGTAAGGGGTAAGTGACATTTCCTGGCTATGAAAATTCAAAGACCAGATCTCATTATACAGTCTCTGAACAGTTCTTGCTTTTTGGTTTTAGGTTCAGATGTTTAAGCGATTGAATTAGTGGTGGAATGGGCCATTTTAACAAGAAATTTATTAATTTCTTTTTAGAATCTATTCTATGACTTAGAACTGTGGCTTAAGTAAGAACGTTCCAAAAATCTGCATCTTAAAATCTGTGCTAATGTGGAAACATGTCCAAGCAGGCAAGCCTGTTCAACAGATGTTCAACAGTGGTGTGGCTCTTTACTGTGCATGCACAGTTTCTTTGCATCCCAGAGATACGATCCTTGATCATTGTATACAGTCAGACTGAATGTTTGGGCCTGTACATGCAGAAGCAGGCTGCATAATGAGCAGATTTCCTATCTCCTGCGCGTGCACAGTGTCAAGTCTTCATACATACATGGTATTGAAAGCCTACACAAAGCAGTGCTTCTTCCCTAGAATTTCGTGGTACACTTCTCACCCTGCTACAGCACACCAGTTGAAAACCTGTGCTTTGAATCAGTGGTTGATTGGGTCTTGTTTTAGAACTGTTTTAGGTTTTTTTGGATTTTTCTGAGGATAGCGGGTGAGATGGACACTTTTCACAGGATCTGAATGTTTCTTTCACTCTGCTGCCCTGGTACTTACTACACTCTGCATTTCAACCAATCAGAAGGTTATTGTCAGGCAGAGTTTCTTTAACTTGAACAATTCTGTTCCTCTCACGGATCCACAAATAATATGGCATTGCACAGCTCAACACTTGATTTTTTAAAGTTGCAAAACTCATCTGATATTTCAATGTTAGGGTTCCAACATCTGTTTCATTTTAGAGTCTTAATAAAGAAATATATGTGGGCCCTTACAAAATAGATATGAAACACTTTGGGCTGGATTTTGCCAGCCTTTTGGGAATAGTTTGGGATGGAGGAGGGCAATAACATAGGGAAGGTGTCGGTGGCTTACCAGCCTTTTTGCCATTTTGGGGCCATTTTGCTAATGATGGGGATAGGGGAGGATGGCTATTCCATCAAAACGCCAATAAGGTCTCTTAAGTGACCAGTTGAGGGCCTCTTGCTTTTTCGGCTGGTATTTCACCACTGAGAGATGGCTGGGTAGTTCCTGGAGGCCTTCGGGTAGATCCATGTGGGGAGCCTTCCTTTTCAGGCATTCATTGGCCCATGTGGATCTTCCCACCCCTGTGGGAAGGGTGCCATCTATACTCACCAACACGTAACCTGTTTGAATCACCAAGGCCTGCCTGACTGGCCCCGATCTCTACAATCTGCACCTGACTGTGAGACACACATTCATTGCTGCACCTTCCTCCAAGTGCAGCCCCAGCAGTGCCCACCACTGTGTGTGGGACTGGTGAGATATTAGCGATCTGTTTGGCTGGCAGGTCATAAGCAGTACTTAATAGGGAGTTAATTGACAATTGCTAATCAGGTGTGTCCCTGGGTCCCATTGAGCAGTGAAATGGGGAAGGGGTCACTACCTTCGGCTGGCAGAACCCAGGCCATCAGAACTAAATTCAGCCTTTTGATTGTTCTTGAGAAATTTTCTATATAGATCATGTTTAGAATATGCTGATAAGAAATATTCTATACTGCTCATTTTTAGTTTTGAAGTAATTAACTGCAAGAAGTAGGCTCGGTTAAACTATCGGAATAGCTGAGCTTAACAACACATCATTTGTTCGAAGATGTCAAGGAAAGGACAATTGCTGGTCTCTGATTAATTTTCCAAAGCTAATAAGTTGTTACCTACTTGTAACATTATGAAGTAAAGATATTGCTGGAATATCTGCTAACAATGTAATAGTATCCAAAATTGAGGCAACAGATCTGAAGTAAAAGTCAAAAATCTTGATGACTAGATTTGTTTTCAATAGATATCATTGTACATAGGGTCATCTACCAATGATGAAACATAATCACAATAAGAGGGTTAATAAAAAGGGGGCATAATTTTGAGGTGAAGGTCAAAAGGTTTGGAGGCAATTTGGGGAATTTTTTTTCACCCAGACATTGATAGCAATCTGTAATGCACTGATTGGGAGGGTAGTTGAGGCAGGAGACTGTACAACTAATAAAAAGTACTTTTATAATTGTTGTATTATTCAAGACTATGGGCCAAGTTGTAGAAAGTGGGAACTTTTGTGAAGCCCACTATGGCTGAATAACCTACTGCATTCACTAACAAGTATAATCCTGGTAAATGGAAGAAACCCATAATTTATTGTTAGCAGAGACTTGGAGCTATGAACTAAATTTGGATCAGAGTTCTTCAATCCACTGCAGTGGACAGACAAATGCATTGTTCACCAATATGGATTTTTTTCCCTGTTTGGCAGTAAAGTGAACGTGTGAGCAATCCAATAATTTTGCAGAACTTTCTTTATCTGTTAACCCTTCTTTCAGTAGAGCTGTAAAGTAACCTTAAGGGGTCGTTTTACATTTTGTAGACAGCAATCTGTATTCTCAAATCTGTAAGTCACCTCACATCCAGGTAGTCACAATGCCCTTTCATAGTCACTGTTACTCATATGCTTCTTAATGCCATTCCTATTCCATCTGCTACTTTTGGTTGCATTTGCTGCAGAAGCCAACATTTAGCCTTCGATAAGAAGTGATTCTAAATGTGGGGATTGTAAAATCTGATGCAGGCTTGGACAAATGATCGCATGGGTGAATCTGAAGTTTGTTATGAATTGTGAACTCATTACCTTTATTCACTCAGTATTGCACAATTTACATCTCACACTCATTGATATGAAAACTTTCTGTTTGGTCTCTTTTTCAAAAGTGCACTGTTTTGTTGCAGGTATCAGTACAGGCAACATGTGTCACATTGACTGCAATGAGTGTAGACAGGTGGTATGTGACAGTATATCCCCTCAGATCCCTGAGGCAGAGAACACCCCGGGTGGCAATGGCTGTCAGTCTTGGAATATGGATTGGTAAGTGAAAAGAAATCAAAGACTAGGATGGGAATATTTGGTTAGCATTTTTACGAGAATGTTCATTCATTTTCTTTTGCCCTCAGTGACAATAACAAATACTTTACTGATGTACTTCAGGAAAGGATAATTGCTACTCCATCATTTTAAATCTACTAGTTTAACAGTTAATTTTTTTTTTGCAACCTCTGTAAGCAAACAAACATGTACAATAAATCCACCTTTCCCAGGGCAATTAACTTGACACAAATTGCTACTCGCATCTGACAATCATATGGCTCAGTGTTAGTCCTCTGGACACAAATTAATCTAGATAGAATGTGTAATTAAATTGCAAAATAAAGTTATGTTTTAGTTATATTAATTTAGCAATACTTGTAGGTGTTTGTGCCTTCAGCTGCCTTGTCTTTTGTTCTAGAATTCCCTCTCTAAATCTATACATCTCTTCAACTCATTCTCTTTAAGACATTCCATAAAGCTCATCTCTGTGAACATTTTTTTGTCAACCCTTCATAGTCTTTCCTTCATTAGTTAAGAACTTGTTTATCATTTTGCCATACGAAGCACCGTGTATATTCTTCTATGTTAAAATGGCTGCATAAGTAACCCTTTATTCTATTGTTCTGTTGATTCATATTTACATTCTATATTCTTAAAATAATTTTTGTTTCTCATTCTGAAATATTTTAAAGTAATAATTGGAAACTTCATAAAATGAAGTAAAAATTATACTTTTATCTGAAATAGTTGCCTCCTGTAATCTGTTGCAGGGTCTTTTATTGTGTCCATACCAGTGGCTATGTATCAGAAAATTCAAAACGGATACTGGTTTGGACCCCAGGTCTATTGCAGTGAATCTTTCCCTTCTGCTTCCCATGAGAAGGCCTTTATCCTTCATAACTTCTTAGCTGTCTATCTTCTCCCGTTGGTCACGATCTGTGTGTCTTATACTGCCATGCTGCATCAGATGGGGCGACCAGCTGTGGAACCCATTGACAACAACTACCAGGTAGACTTTATTTTTGTATTGTATTAATTAAGGCAAATCCCCGTGCTCTAAATTGCTTATCAATAGTGACATAAGAAGCCTACTGGTTGGGCTAAGTTACATTTTTAGATTAAATGTATACTTGCAAATACCCAAGTGATCAAGTACGCCCTGACAACATTCTGGCAATAGTACTGAAGACCTGTTTGCCAATACACGCCTCTACAAATAAATAAAACACTGGTTCATGAATGTGATGTAATGTATAGATGATTCTTGATTTGGTTTTGACATCAAGTGGGGGCCTACAATTTTCCTGCATAGAGAAAGAGAGCAAGAATCACGGAGGCGGAAGGTAATCAAGGAGAAAGAGGGGGAATTAAAAATAGTTCAACATAGTGTTGAGGTGGAGGAAAGAAACAATAGTTAACCAAAGTAGTTTATTTCATTCATGTAATATCAAAGAAATTATTTTCTGAAATTCATTCTGGTGAATGTTATTTTTAATTCCTTTAGCAAAATAGACACAAGGGTTTAGATTATTAAATGACAATAATTTTAATATTTATATTAAATAATTAAAATAAATGGTTAATACCAAAATTTCAATCAGAATATGTATTCTAAAATTCCGTAGATTTTAATCTGAAATAAATTCTGAAATACTAATACCTTGTTATAGGTCCGCTTTTCCTGCAGATCGTGAGTTTCAACTAAGGATGAAATTAGTGCCTTCAAAAATGTTAAAAATCTAGTTGATCATCAATAAAGTGAAGTTTACAGTTTATTCGATGATCTGTAACAAGCATGTTATCTTATGATCCAATTTTCCTTTCTGTGCTTTGGCTATCCAATACTTTTATCTTCCATTATAATTTGAGATCATCAAATTTCTATTGTCCTTGACCTAGATTGCACCAACTCATGTTTCCCCATCTCCCTTGTGCTCACTGATTTACATTGGCTCCCAACAACACCTCAGTTATAAAATTCTCATCCCCGTTTTCAAATCTCCACATGGTCTCTCTGTCTCTGTAATCTCCTGCCCTGCAACTCTTTGAAATATTTGCCCACCGCTCATTCCAGTCTCTTGAACATGTGACTCTAATTACATTGGTGGCAACTGTGCATTCAACTGCTGAAACTTTAAGTTCTGGAATTCTCTTCTTAAACATACCCCCATCTCTATTTCTCACCTTTTGGACACTCCCTAAAAGCTACTACTTTGATTTAGCTTTTGAACATCTACCCTATTATCTCCTTATATGGCTTAGAGTCAAATTGTTTTTGATAATGGCTCTTCAAGACACTTTACCGCAATAAAAGTGATATAAATATACATTGTTGTTAATGTTAAGCCATGTTGTAAGTTGAAAATTCACCGAACTGGTTTCTGTTCTCTGGAGTAAGGTAGTGACAAATGTTCTCTGGCAGGCAGCAGGTCAAAGGGACATGTAAGAATGAATGAACTTCTGGAGTTTTGCTGGAGTACCTGTGAGAGATCGGAGACTAAGTATGCAGAATTTTCACCAGAAATTACATGGTGTACATTTGAAAATAGGGTAGCTTTTACAGCGTCTTTGAAAGAATAAGCTTGATGGATTGATTACCCTTTTCCCTCTCCATATTTTCATATGCTTTCGTGTTCTTTTCACAAACTATACTTGTATTTTGCAGGTTCAACTTCTTGCTGAAAGATCAGAGGCCATGCGCACAAAGGTCTCCAGGATGTTGGCAGTTATGGTCCTTCTCTTTGCCCTTTGTTGGGGTCCCATCCAGTTGTACATCCTTTTCCAATCATTTCTTCCAAATTTTAACAGGAATTACTATACATACAAAATCAAAATCTGGGCCCATTGCATGTCCTACACAAATTCCTCCATCAATCCTATTGTATATGCGTTCATGGGAGACAACTTTAGAAAATCATTCAAGAAAGCTTTCCCATTCATCTTCAGACAGAGAGTTGGGAACACAAACAGTGGAAATACTGCTGGCAACACGGAGATGCATTTTATTTCATCTGGAACGTAAGGGATTTGGATATTTTGGGATATAATGCTTTAATTGTTGAAAATATTTGAGTTGAACCAGGAAGGTCTGATAGAAGACTTGATATCAACTATTGTTAGAATTTCATTCTGTTTGGCTAAGTGCCAGGCACCCATTACCAGTATCATTCACACTTTACATGGGTGAACAGTTGTTCCTACGCAATTTTGAAAAACATTTTTCCTAAGACACTCACAGCTTAGAGCCCTGATGGTTTGGGGAAATGTCTCACATCAAGGATAGCTGAGCCATTAAATCCAGGAAAGCCCTAAGATTAATCTCTAGACTTTGCTGAGGTAGATGGCATCTGTCAAATTCTTCACTGAAATTTTCACCTGGTCGTGAAGGGATAAAAGCAAATAAATGTGCTATTCTTGACTGTTATCCAATGACCTTTGCTGTAGATTGTGAGTATGTATGGTTGTGCGTTGAGTGAAGGATTAGGTGCATGTCTGATAGCCCTTGTAATTCAGAGCTTGTTGTCACTTGTTTATGCTCTTAGTGCCTCCTGCTGCTTCACTGAGTAATGAGACAAAGGACAAAGGTATCCATTATTTATAACAATCATATTGCAAGTATGTAGTTGTGAATTTTAATTAATTAGGTGATCTGTTCTAATTTCATTAACTTATACTTTGAGTGAAGCAGTGAAAGGATGAATTTGAAACAGTCAAATTTAAAGAAAGCAAAATATAGAATGTGGAAATTTTATACTTTTTGCAACTTGGTTGACCTTCAGTGGTTACTTAGTTTATTTTACAGAGAAGGAAACAATTGCAATGACAAAGTAAGAAGTACAGAGGTGTCTTGTACATATATACATGACAGTTGGGAACCAAAGAGGGCCCCCCCCCAAATCTATGATGTAACCATTTATGTTGGATGTGTCCAAGACAAACATAAACCACAGTAGGGGGATGTCTACCCCAGTCCCAGGCCCGAGATCGTTTCTGTCCAATAGACACAAAATACTTTACACAAAGCATCAATAGAATGTGTCTGACAGACTCATAGTACTAATCCACATGCACAGCTCCCGAACAGACAATTTAAGAGATGTCTGCAGAGCTTGATGAGAAACGAAATTGTCATTTTATTTCACATCAAGAAAAAAACATAATTACATTCATATAGTACATTTTGTGACCTCAGAACATCCCAAATCACTTCACAGCAAATGAACTTCTTTTTAAACATAGTGAGGGTTGGAAAAGAAGATTTTCTGTCCTGATCTCTACCCATTATATGTGTCACTTGTGTGTAACAAAATCTGACAAATAACAATCAATAATAATCAGATCAACTAATTTAGTGATGTTGGTTGAGAATAATTATTGGCCAGAACAGCAGGATTCCATTCTGTCATGGGATTTTTTTGCAACCACATGAGAAGGCAGACAGAGCATCAGTTCAACATCACTTCTTGGAAAATGATACTTCGGCTTCCTTGGTACTGTATTGAAGTATTAGCGTGGATGATACTTTAAAGATTCTAAAATAGGACTTGAAACCATAACCTTCTGACTCAGAGGCAAGAGTGCTACCTGTCCTCCGAGCCACAGCTAACGTATAGAATGCTGAATCCTTTCTTTGAAGAGCTTTGTATTACAATATGTTTATAAGTAGAAAATCACTAGTTGTATTCAATCTCTGTGCATCTTGATATATTGCTTCGTGTACAAAAAAAACATTCAGCATGATTTTTGTGTTAATCTTGCAAATATAATGATTGGCTATTTTATTTTAAAACATGACTAAGAGGCTGAAATGGGTCTTTAAATCTCCAGTTGTATGTTCTATTCTATCATGAATTAACTTATCGCTGAAATAGAAAATAGCCATTTCTGACCTATGCGGACATGAAGGATTCAAGATTCCATTATTGAAACTGGGTTGAATTATGTAGCCCAATTCAAACAGGCAGTAGAATTCTCTAAAATGCCAATTCTAAGGAGGGGAAAGTTCAGGCAGCTCTTTCTCTCCTAGCCCTGCCCGTTGTTTATGGATATCAGATGGGGACCGGGTCAGGTTTAGTTTTGACACACTTAAGCACCCAGTTAAATAGACTAACAACATTTGCTGCCTTTCAAAATGGTTGGTAGCTGAAGTAACCAGGTTAGAATTTAGGAAAGGAATCATTCACATGAGTTAGATATTGCATTGTGCTATTGAGATATCCATTGACTCAATTTGTTAAAGAACAATTAAAATTTTTACACCATAGAGGGACACCATGCATCCCATCATAACCTTGCAATTTCTTTGAAGAAATAATCCTATTAGTCCACTCCTCACACTTGCCCTCCTCCTTTCAAATTTGTTTTGCCAGCATTTAAATTGTGGTTCCAATAAAGGCAAATAATTACATGACAATGTTGAATGAGGTATACCATTGATGTAGCAAACCTGTAGTTGGAATAACAACTGGGATGACAGATTCAGTGTATTATTTGTGAATATTTCCAATTTTCAAACAGTAAGAAGGAATCCAAATCTTCATAATTAATCAATTTCCAATCTCTCTTTATAAGTAATGCTTATTTTTTGCACTGCGTGCATTTGGCTCAAATAATTTTCCAGATTCTGTTGCTTTATTGTGATGATAGATATGTGGATTGTTACTTTATTTATCATTTCCATAATTCATTTTTTTTAAAAAACTGATTTGTTCAGTAAGTAAGTCTTTAATAGATTATTTCAGTGGTGAATAAAATCATATTTATTAAATTATTGTCTCAAGAGCCGTGTTACTTTAAAAGCTGGGTACGCTGATGAACCAAGATGAAGCTACATGACCAACTTTCATGTGCTGGTTACATATCTAATCGTCTGTAACTGGAATTTGTATTCTGAGCTGTTAAATAAACCTGTATGAGATTTTAAAGTAAACCAAATCCATGCTATTCAATCTATGTTGCTTACCAATAACACATGAAAATATGACATGGTGATCATTGGAGGAGATATTTCTTAAGAATTAAAGGCAATGTTGCAAACTTGAAAACCACAAGGCAATACTTCAGCCAAGACATGCAGTAGCGTAAAAGTTACATATGTACTGTGATCCCAGAGAAAAAATGACAGTTGATTTGTGAGCCTGTTCAGACAGATAGTTAGTTCCAAATTGGGATGGAGAAGCTGCAGGGCAGTCAAGACAACCTCTAGTGTAATTCCTGTGCAAAAAAGATAAAAAATGTATAAAGCAAAAGAGAAAGTTTAACCTGCAGCTGAAAACAGCACAGGGAAGGATTTGAAAAAAAAACACAGCAGATCCATTGTTAAATCTCCACAGAGTAACTTTATGATAGCAAGACTACTATGAATCATAGAATTCATAAAAGATAAGCAACAAAGAATGGATATTACCAAATCCAACAGCATGAATTGAAAAGATACAAATGTCCTACCAAATTTGGGCTTTTTAAACAAAGGATTGAACTATACTTTTTTTAGATTTAGCTGTTGCAGAGCCAGATTAGTATTCCGAGGAGGGAGCAAGGGATAAATCAGCAAACTACAGGTCAATCAGTCTAACCTCAGTGATGGGGAAATTATTGGAAGTAATTCTAAGGGACAGAATTAATTTACACTTGCAGAGTCAGGGATTAATCAAGAACAGTCAGCATGGTTTTGTTAAGGGGAGGTTGTTTCTGGCCAAATTGATTGATTGAATTTTGTAAAGAGGTAACTAGGCATGTAGATAGGGCAAAGCAGTCAACCTAGTCTGCTTGGACTTCAACAAGGCTTTTAATAAGGCCCTGCGTAGGAGATCGATAACAAACATAAAAGCCCAAGGGATCCAAGTAAAGTTGGCTAATTAGATCCAAAATTGGCTGTGTGACAGGAAGAAAAGGGTGATGGTTAAGGGGCTTTCACTGATCAATGGCTGGGGGGTGGGATTAGAATATTTAGGTGGTTGTTTTTGACCAGCACAGACTTGATGGGCCATAGCACCTTTTTTCTGGGCTATAGACCTCTGACTCTAAAGGGTGAGGGGATCTGGTGGGTTTCATGGGTGAGTGGGAGGTGTTGATGGGTAACTCGAACAGTCCAACTAACAAACTGAATCTCACCAAGTTTTCTTCAATGAACTAATAGATTAATACAATAAACCAACCATGGTTAACCAAGGAAATCAAGAATTGCATCAAATTAGAAAAAAAGCAGACAACATGGCTAAGATTAGTGGTAAACCAGATGATTGGGCAAATTTCAAAACCAACAATGATGGTCAAAAAATAGAGGGAGAAAATACATTTTGAGGGTAAAACTTGCATTTAATATCAAAATGGACAATAAGAGTTTCTAAAAAGATATATGAAAAAGGAAGACAGCGGCCAGAGTGAGCATAGGCCCCTTAGAGATTGAAAGCCGAAAGAACTGTGGATGCTGTAAATCAGGAACAAAAACAGAAGTTGCTGGAAAAGCTCAGCAGGTTTGGCAGCATCCGTGAAGAGAAATCAGAGTTAACGTTTTGGGTCTGATGATGCTTCCCCTGTTCTGAGGAAGGGTCACCAGACCTGAAACATTAACTCTCATTTCTCTTCACGGATGCTGCCAGATCTGCTGAGCTTTTCCAGCAACTTCTGTTTTTGTCCCTTTGAGATTGAAGCTAGGAAAATAATAATGGGGAGCCAGGAACTGCCAGAGGAGTTGAGTAAATACTATGTAACAGTCTTGATGGCCAATAGCTACTTTTCTTTTGTCTTCTACCGTTTCGAATAGAAGTGTTACATTGACAGCTTTACAATCCCATGACTCTTTTCCAGAATCAAATGTTTCCTGGAAGATCACCACTAGTGCATCTACTATCTCTGTAGCTACTTCTCTTAATATCCTAGGATGCATCCCATCAAATCCAATGGAATTATCAGCCTTTCGCCCTATTAATTTCCTCATACTTTTTCTCTGGTGGTAGTTACTCTATAATTTCCACTCCGCATTTTGCACTTTGATTATTTTTGGAATGTTTTAGTGCCTTCTGCCCAGAGTGTATAGGGATTGCAGAGGGTAGGAAGGGTTAGTAGCTTGGGAGTGAATAAGAGCTGTTGAGTTAACATGATGCATGCAATAGCGAGTATTGTAGTCCATAAGCCATTGTGAGATGGATATGCAATGGCAGAGTTAGAGTTACTGGTGGCCCAGTGAGTGAGGTAACAGAGTGAAGATTGAGAGTCTTACCCCTGCGACGCTCAAGAGATCATTAACTTTCTTCATACATTACTTTGGGTTCCTTTTAACATGGGACACAGAGCTGACCTGGGCTGCTTTCTGTGTCCAGGTTGCCTAAGTCTGGTATATAAGCGAGGTTGCTGGAAAATCTCAGCAGGCCTGGTCACCAGACCCGAAACGTTAACTCTGTTTTTTTCCTTCACAGACGCTGCCAGACCTGCTGAGTTTTTCCAGGAACTTTGTTTTTGTTCCTGATTTACAGCATCCGCAGTTCTTTTGGTTTTTATTTTGCCTAAGTCTGGTGGTGTGGCCTGCTTTGTTGTTCTGCAAGAAAAAGGACAGCCATCTTCTCAACTTGCCTTTCTGGGCCATTTTCTGATTTAGGAATAATGGTGCAGGGTCACAATGTCAGATCCAGTTTCTGGCTTGCAGCATGTGAAATGTTGTGCAGCTAGGCTTTAGATATGGAAACAGCAGCCTGAATGCTGGAAGCTCTAAGTAGTGAGGAGCACTTTTACTTTTCTTGATGCTCAGTGCCATGTGAAGGGCACCAAAGAGTCCAGCTGCATAATTACTGAGATGAAGAGTGGAAGATTGAGTCAGAAAAATGCCCCAAGCCACGGTAGAGCAGGCACCATGAATCTCACTCGACAAAACATTGAATATGAAAAAAATTTACCTTACCTTACTAGAAAGGTTTAACAGAATTAATAATATTAAGAAATATTAAGGAAAACTTGATAGGTTTATATATCATAATTATAATGGCAATTTATATTACATATTCCTACTAGCAGTTAACCAAAGGAACAAGAGTTTTTATCTACATTTCTGGGCAGTGACAGTTTATCTAACTACAGAACTGCACTTTGCGTATCAGTGGAGAAAACTTACATAATCTCAGAAATATCTCTTAGGCTTTTTTATCATATTACATAATGATATTATGATATCCAGAGGATTTTGTACATTTTTTTATCAGCTATAAAAATAACTTAATCAATCCAAGCTATGTGACAATGCTGTGGCTTTGAGAGACGTATTTTGTCCGGATTTCTTTTAAGAGAGAGAGATCGAAACAGAGGTGACAAGTAGTCTGTGGTAACATAAATAGCTTGTGAGGCCTTGGGCTTGTTTTAAAGTTGGAAAAATAGTAGCAGCCTGCATGGGTGTGGCCAGCACTCTCAGATCAGGATTTCTAGGTTTTTGTTTAGCTGTTAGATTCTGCAGCAACTGCTGGAGTATTGAAGAAGTAGAAGTTATTTTTTCCGCTCTCAGTTACAGTTAGAAGCATGTGAGAAAATCTGTTTTCTGAATTTGCCTTTTAACCAAGGGGATATTTATGGGATGTTACTACATTGGAATAGTTAATTAGTGTTAGTTGCTGTATCTACTATTCTTTTAAGTTTTCCAATGGAGTTAAGTTGTTCTGAATTCTTCTTTCTTTTGTTGTGTTTTAACTATGGTGTTTGAATAAATTATGTTTTGTTTAACGTCAAGTAGTTTGACGAGTCAAATTGAGTTTGGAATAACAGTGCTTTATGTTTGCCTTTAAAATAAGAAAACATTAGGATCTAGGATACCTTCTTAAAATATTTTGGTCCATAATACATAATCATAGGGATGTATTTGTGAGGTTAATTTTTAAATAGTAATTTTAGTGACTGAACACATTTTCATGGCAGAAACACATTACTTCATTCTTGTTGTAAAGTGAAAGGTGGGTAAGTGTACCCAGACTAACCTTGACCAATTTGCGGTAACCCTTTTCAACTCAGGAGTGTTATGCAATGAGCTAGATAAAGGGGACAAGAGTCAGAGAAAGGTCTAACACAAGTTTATTGAGCACTTTATGAAGGAAAAACAATATTTATAGATTCTACTACTGTACTTTAATTAAACTATCAAACTCTATTAATCTCTTCAAAGGACTCTTCAGTAAATAGTCTTAAATCTCTGAATAAACCATATCAAAACTACACTACCTATTTTGCCACATGCTTCCAAGGATTTGCTACATCTCACCCACAGATCCCAACCACTATTTGAACTGCTCGTCTGAAAGGACTGGTATCACCCATTCACTAAAGCTGGGACAGGTTGTTCCTCAGTCTTTTGAGAGTTGGCTGATGTTTCAGGATCTGCAGTCATCAATTTGGGCTTCCCCTCTTGTCTCGGGCTGGTTCTGCTCTTCAGGTTGTCTCACCGACGTGGTCTTCTGGGTCTGGTCAGTCTGACGATGCTCACCATGAGGTACCAGGAGCTGGAGATGCTATGCACCTCAGCTGCCACTAAAAAGGTGCTCCATGGAGACACCTTTAGAGAAAGTCTAAGAAACAGAGACAGCTGGGACTTCAGATTGACCCATTTATCCCATTCTTTATGC